AATCAGCATTACACTAAAGCGTTTAAAGATGTAGACAAGGTGGTTGGGAGACACTGGGGTGTGAGGTGAAATAACCAGAAGTGCAATAAAAAAATATAATTAAATAATGTAAAAATGAATACAAAGATAACAAAAATGCCATTGTATAAAGAGGAATGTATAAAATAATTTGTAAAAAGTAAATAAATGAATAAAAATATCTGCATTATACTAGAGCGAGAAGGCTGGAGGTGAAATGACATAGAAAAAGAACAGTCACAAAAATGTACAAAATAAAAATATATATAAAAGTCCAGCATACTGCGTTATACTATTACGTTTAATGCCATATAATGGAATATTCCAAGCAAAGCAAGCTCCTTCAACTAAAAACAAGTATAAAACATTAAAAATCAAGGCAAGTGGACAGGTCAGATTTAAGCAAACAACAAACTTTGATTCTTAAAGCTTCGTAGAAATTATTTTTGTAAACAAGATTTTGCCGTTTTGTTTTGTTTGCATAATTTTTTTAAAGCTAAATTCCGCAAGGTTTCTGGTGGATGGTCCGTCAGAAGCTTTTCTCCATGGAGATGTTACTGTTTTGTGCGGAATGTTTCACACTAAGACTAAGTTGCCAGTCAGATCTGTGGAGAGGCGACCCCACAACCCTGTTTTTCGAGGTATTTTTGAGCTATAAAACCACCTGTAATTCAATAAACTTAAGGCAGAGCAGTGACATATCCACAGAAACTAACAGGTGACAGATGCAGAAGTGCTTTGCCCTTGAAAACCCTCTGCCCCTTCACCACGGGGTTGCTCTACCTGACTCCATCCTCACCGATAATGACATGAGGATGACAGGTGCCACCTTCCTGCAGCTTGTGTGGAGCCACGGGGGGCAAATACTGGACCATACTGTAAATCTATAACGGGATCTGTGTGGACGGAATCACACAGTCCAGATCATAAAGCTGCGCAGCATGTGGCAAAATCACTGTTATTACTGGATTGGAGGAAATTACTGGTATAAAAAAAATGAAATGAAATTAGATAAAATAATGCCAGACGTACACCGTGCGATATTTTCGATCGTTTCACGACCAAACGCAGGGTTTAAAAGTTCACAGCTCGTGGAACTACTTCAACAGAGCGAAACCCTCACGAGAGGCGACTGGATTTCAAACAGCTTTGATATTTTTGTGACCTACGATTCCCGATCAGGAGCTGGTCGTGAGGTATTAATCGGTTCTCGTTACTCCATGTTTACTACACGAAACACGACACATGATTAAGCCAAAACTCAATCCCAAACACAGTCTCAAGACTGAAAAATCGGGGCCAAAAGAGCCAAAAATCGCACAGTGTACACCAGGCTTAAACCTGAGATGGACTGTGTCATGGTTGAAGTTCAAAACGCCAGTTGGATCAAAAATTTGTTCCTTTTTTTTGTACGATATGCAATAATAATCAAAATATATTACGCGGTTTTCATGTTAAATATGTAGCGCTTATATAAATATCATTACGTTTTAATTGTTACTACTTACAAATACTCCAAACATTAACTCATTCATGCTCTCAGAAGTTACACTGCAAATTTCTCAGATCTGGCCCAGATTTTAAAATTTATATCAGATTATCCATCATCTTATTTTCAGATTTATTATCTATTTACTAGTTCTAGAGGTTGTTTATTTTAAGAGAACTTGTCAAATAAAATATTCTTGCTGCGTGGACAGATAATTTCACAACTGTTAAGTCATTTTCTGATAGATTTAAGTGTTTATATCTTAAATGTTGGACAAGGTTTTATGCAGTGTAAGCAGGGCTGGATCTTTTAAGTACTTGGATGGGAGATTGTTGGGAAAATCAGGTGCCACACTGAAGCAGCAGTGGTAAAAACTGTTGTTGTGTCCTTAGGTAAGACATTTCTCCCACATTGCCATTGAGCTTGAGTGATGATGGTGGTCGTAGGCAGCCTCACTTTCGTTAGTCTGTCCCAGGGCAGCTGTGGCTACAATAGCAGTTTACCACCACCAGTAAGACCTAAACAGAGCTTTTTCACAACAACTGGAGGTGCCCCATTTTAGGTTTAGGAACTTCCAGTTAATGTGTGTGTAAATGTGTGTCGTATTCTCCACCAGCTTCATAAATCTGCTCCATCACCATATCTTCATCCAACAAGGTCCACAAAAGATAAACATTCTAACATGAAGAATTTAACCACAACTATCAAGGTAAGAAAGACGAAAACTTAAAAGAGAACAATGACACATTAGTGAAACTACTGAACAAAACTATTGTTATGGTCACGAATAAAACAGAAGTAACTTGTGAACTCAGACTGATTCTACAATTCAGTTTCATGATGTCGATATTAGCGCAGACAGAGAGATTTATGCAGTTTGAATACTAAACATTTGTAGTTTTACTCGGTCGTTCACTAATGCGTCGTCGTTGTTCGCGCTTAAGCTTTTGTCTTTCTTTTGAATGAATGAACGAACGTTTATTCGGACGGTAATGCACAGAACATGCACAGAAAATTAAAATAAATGTCACACAGATTTTACTTGTGTCCGAAAAAGGAGTGGGAGGAAGTAAATACTTATTTTTATATCATTTTCTGATCTATTTTCAATGTTTCCTCATCACAAACAGACCTGGAGTTGTGTTTTTTTGTTTCATTCACACAAGTTTAACACACAAACCCTGCAGATTTAGACATAATTTTTCTCTCACACAGAAAACACTCCATTCTACTTCCATCTTGTGATGTCAAGTGGTAATACAAGAAGTGCTCCACTGTGTTTTTACACTCAATACACCTTCACTAGAAGCATTTGTATGATTTCAGCCTTGTGGAATCGCCAATCTTTACGAAACTAAAATGATAAAAGGAGCTGTCAACTTGAAAACTCCTGCTTCATGACATCACAAGGTGGAAAGGAGTATTTTGAGCTTTGGAGATGTAGACAGAAGAATAATAAACTAGAAAAGCACTCAGAGAGCGCAGAGCTCCGCCAAGGACTACCCCCATTTTTTATATAAATTGCGATAAAATCAGTCTTCTGGATCAGATCCGGATCAGCCTTTGGAATATGAAAGAGGATCCCATTGTCCATCCCTGAGTCAAATTTCATGGGCTTTGATCAATAATTAACCGAGATATTGAGAAACAAAATTTTTGGCCCCATTTACCACAATGTTAACTAAAATTTCAAAGTGATCCAGAATCCAGGATTTCTTCCAGATCACCCCCAAAATGAAATCAGTTCTTCCTTTTCACATTTCCAACAAATCCTGAAAATTTCATCAAAATCGGTCCATAACTTTTTGAGTTATGTTGCTAACAGACAAACAAACAAACAAACAGACAAACGCCGGCAAAAACATAACCTCCTTGGCAGAGGTAATAATAAAAAATATTACTCAAACAAAACAAAACACAACTCCAGATATGTTTCTGAAGCTCAGAAGAGTCAATTTTGGGACTAGAACCTTTTAAAAGTATATTTATACTGTAGTCTTTAGTTAAGTTATATATGTTTTTTTTTTATTATATTTATTTATTTATTTTTTAATTTTTTTATTCTTTTATTTTGTTTAATTTTTTTTTTTTTTATTATTATTTTAAAGAGTTTTTTTTTTTTTTTTTGCAATGCCAATAATTTTGTTTTTTGTCCCTCCTCGAGAATCCTAGTGGCAGCTGCATTATCAAACCACGGAGAGAAACTCATCTAAATCATGACATTAAATTGAAAAAAAGGAAATATTTTTTGTTTCCTTTTTTTTTGCAATAACAAAACAATTTCCTCCAAATACTGTTAATATTTCGAAGGGGAAACATTTGTCGGCTGCCGCGTCCCTTCATCCGAACTGTCTTTGAACCCAACTGTGGAAAAGCAGATTATTTTGTCAGGAATCGAATTTTCAGGCATCAGAGGTGTAGAAATGTCCCCGGTATAAAAAATATGTTTATTATTAGCATCTGAAGACAACATTTTTCTCACCGGGATTTGATTTGCTGCGTCTCTAACACCTTTTCATGGCCGCGTTATTTTATCATTTTTTTTATTGTTTTGTGTTTTTTTTTCCTGGTGGTGTCACTGGGAGAAATATTGCAATGTTTTTGTTTTGTTTATTTTAGAGTTTGTCGCTATTTTTTTTACAGGCTGATCCATTAAAAACAAAAAGAAAAAAGAATAGAAATGCAAATTGTGTGTTGTCGATTACAAAGCAGAAAGAAGAGGAAAGAGGGGAGAGAGAAAAATGAGAGTAGAGAGGGAGAGAAAGAGGAGTGAGAAACAATAAGTAGAAGTGAGAAAGAGAGAAGAGAGGAGGAAACAGGATAGAGAGAGAGAGAGAGAGAAAGAAGGAGGGAGAGGAGACAGCGGATAAGTAGAAGTGAGAGAGAGAAAGGAGGGGAGAGAGAAGGAGAGTAGAAGAGAGAGAGAAAGGAGAGAAGGAGAGTAGGAGATAGAGAGAAAGTGGAGAGTAGAAGAGAGAGAGAAAGAGAGAAGAAAAAGAGAAGGAGAGTAGATTAAAGAGAGAGGAGAGAAGGAGAGTAGGAGAGAGAAGAGGATTAAAAGGTGGATGATGTGTTGTCTGTTACAAACCATGAAAATAAATGTGAGTTTAGTTAAATGCTGAAGCAGAAATCACGTTGGCTGATCCAAAAACTGCAAAAACTAAAATATCTTAAAATCATAAAGGTGCACTCTAAGTCCGTCAGCTGTTTCTCTTTTCTTATTTATCACTACGTAAACAACTGGTGGTGATGTGAACTGTGGCTGAGTCATATTTGGACCAGAACTCTGAAACCTTTGTCTTCTTTACAGAATTGAATGTTTCTTTTGCTACAGATCCCACCTGCACGACTGAGGGATTACACAGACAAGACCGATCGATAACATCTCCATGGAGTCAAGGTGGCAGAGAAACCAGAAACCACACCAAGTCCAAAAGCACAAAGAACGTACACAATGTGAAAAGAATCTAAAGAGGCTGAATAACCCACTCACCGTCGCAGCCTCGTTCCACCTGGCCCACCCGGTGGAGGGCGTCTGCGATCAGGTCGGGCAGTCTCCCGTTCAGGTCCACAGAGGCCAGGCAGCCCTGGTACCCGTCCCGGGACGCGATCAGTTTGGGCAGATTACTGTACGTGGTCCTGTGCACGCCACCGATGTACAGCTCTCCTGAAAAACACAATAAATATACACATTACATACACAGTTTAACCAGGATTATACTGTACATGGTTCGATGTACAGACCTCCTGAAAATCAACAACAGATACATGACATACTTTACAATTTATGTGTTGACATGAAAGGCAGGCAATCACAAGCTATACAAGTAGAGTTTTAGTAGTTCAAGTTATATTCAGATGGGTTGCATTGTAGTAGTAGTAGTAATATTAGTGGTGGTAATAGTAATAGTAATTATAAGGAGGATAAAGGAAGCTGTAGTCATTGTAATAGCAGTTGTAGTCAGTACTTATAGTATCAGAGTATGCATGTAGGCAGTAATATGTCATGCAGTTACGGGTAGTAGTAGTAGTAGTAGTAATAGTAGTAGTAGTAGTAGTAGTAGTAGTAGTAGTAGTATAGTAGTAGTAGTAGTAGTAGTAGTAGTAGTAGTATAGTAGTAGTATAGTAGTAGTAGTAGTAGTAGTAGTAGTAGTAGTAGTAGTAGTAGTAGTAGTAGTAGTAGTAGTAGTAGTAGTAGTAGTAGTAGTAGTAGTAGTAGTAGTAGTAGTAGTAGTAGTAGTATAGTAGTAGTAGTAGTAGTAGTAGTAGTAGTAGTAGTAGTAGTAGTAGTAGTAGTAGTAGTAGTAGTAGTAGTAGTAGTAGTAGTAGTAGTAGTAGTAGTAGTAGTAGTAGTAGTAGTAGTAGTAGTAGTAGTAGTAGTAGTAGTAGTAGTAGTAGTAGTAGTAGTAGTAGTAGTAGTAGTAGTAGTAGTAGTAGTAGTAGTAGTAGTAGTAGTAGTAGTAGTAGTAGTAGTAGTAGTAGTAGTAGTAGTAGTAGTAATAGTAAGTATAAGCAGCATAAAGGAGTATAAATGTAACTATGCTTGTATTTTGTAGTTGCAAGTGTTTGTGGTTGTAGTAGTAGTAATAATTGCAGTAGTTGTAGTAGTTTACTGTACAAAGAACAAAACAAAACGCATAATGATGTAAACAATTCAAGTCATTATAATAAATAAATAAAAAGAAATAGAATAAATAAATAAAAAATCAAGTTAAAACTAGTCAAAGGAAGACCAACTGATTAAAAATGAGTCTGAAGAAGTGATTTAAAAGATGATCCCGATGGTGCGAGTCTTATCTCCTCAGGCAGGTCGTTCCAAAGCCGAGGAGCCCAAACTAAAAAGGCTCCATCACCTTTCGTCCGAAGTTTGGACTTTGGAACAGTTAACATTGACCTGCCTGCGGGAAAACAACAGGAGGCTCGTACGGGGTTAAAAGTTCTGAAATGTAACTTGGTGCGAGACCTGAACGAGCTTTAATAGTGATCACTGAGTGTGTATACATGCACATCAATAACCCGGTTATGATCGGGTTTTTTGAGTATCCCGGTTTCTTGATGGTGCATGTAAACGCAGTAACCCGGTTTCAGTAACCCGGTTATGGCAGTATCCCGGTTATTAGAAACTGCGTTACTGTAGCTGGTTTATTCCGATAGTAACCGGGATACTTGTGGCATGTATAACGCAGTACCCCGGTTACTGCAACATAAAGTTGAGTCGCATGCGTCCAAAAGACACTTTCCAGCCTTTCACCACAACAGTAGTCACATAAATAAATTGACCAACATAAATAAAGTGACCAAACGAGTGAAATGACTGTAAAATAAAGAGCTGCGCTAAACCTGCACACGTACAATCTGCACTCGTACGACCTGCACTCGTGTGACGCTGAAAAGCTAAAACATGAACTATCTCCTATACTCTATATGCACGGAACACACTTACCATCATTAGCGCCTCTTCTGTCACAGAAATAACACACATAATCCACAGAGTCGTGTCATTTAGTCCAAAAGAAACTGATCACATCAGCGGCACAAGGAGCGAGTTGTTTTTATCGTCGCTAACAGTTTATGCTAATTAGCCAAACGGTCTTAAGTTTCGTTTCTGTAAAACGTAAACAAATGTGATCAGAGCTGAATTATCTGATCAAACGGGCTGATGTGTCTCTATAGTGTTTATGGTTTATATGTTGTAAAGTTGAGTTTATTTATGCAGAAGATTTTAATGAAGAATCTGCGCAGTGGATTGTGGGAAATCTCGTAGCTCCTTAGCTTCTTATGCTAAAGGAGCTCACGGTTTGTATTTTTCCTGGTTTATGAAATTGATTTAAGTTCATTTTTGCGCCTGCGCATTTGTAAGATTATGTCAAGAAACCGGGATACTCCATTTGATCATATATACGCGGATATGAGTATCCCGGTTTCTCAGTGCGCATGTATACGCAGTAACCCGAATACTGACAGAACCGGGATATGGCTAATAACCGGGTTATTGATGTACATGTATACGCACTCACTAAAATCCTAAAATCGACTCAGAATACGCCGAAGTAGAAGTAAAAAACGATAATATCAGCAGTATTTTGGTGGGTTTGAGCTAAAAATAGAAGTAAATAAGAAAAGACAAAGCCAAATCTGCGTGCGTTTTAACTCGACAGTGTTTGGTCGTGTTTGAAAAGTCTCGCCTGAGCCGCCATCTTTCCTCGGCATTGTTTTATTAAAGGCCAAATGAGCCCCTCAGCGAACGTTCAGGGACCACTGCTCCGCTCCGGCACAGAGAGACGGACCGGGAACGATTCCAGACGGAGGTATAGAGCCGCCGCCGAGAGAGAGAGAGGGAGACAGTGGGGGAGAGACGGAGAGAGAGAGGAGGAGGGAGATGAGACAGGGTGAGAAAGACGGGGAAAGGGGGAGAGAGTGAAAGAGATGGTGTGAGAAGGAGTGAGAGAGAGCAGAGAACTATGGAGAGAAAGAGAAGGCAAGAAAGAGAGGTAGAAAAGGAAAGAGAGAGCGAAATAAGGGGGCAGAAGAGAGGGAGAGAGAGAGAAATATAGATAGAGGGTGAAAGAGCGGAGGGGTAGAAAAGGAGAGAGACAAAGTAGAAGAAAGAGGAGAAGACAGAGAAAAGAGAAAAGGAGAGTACAAGAAAGAGAGAGTTGGGAAGGGAGTGAGATCAGAAAGAGAACATGAAAAAATATGGGAGAAGGAGGGAGAGTGTGAGGAAGCAGAAAAATATATAGAGAGATAAAGAAAGAGGTAGAGAATGAGAGCTATAAAAGAGACAGAGAAAAAGAAAAGAGGGAGGAGAAGAGAGAGAGAGAAGAGATGACAGAGAGGGGAAGAGAGATTGAGCGAGAGAGTGGATGAGTAGAAGAGAAAGAGAGGAGACAGAAGAGAGAAAGAGTAAGAAGTAGAGAAGAGAGAGAAAGTGAGTAGAAGAGAGAGGGGAGAGGAAAGGGGAGTAGAAGAGAGAGAGAGAGAGGTGGGGGAAGAGAGGAGACAAAAGAGAGTGGAAGAGAGTAGAAAGGAATGAGAGGAGAGGAGAGGAGAAAAGAGAAGAAGAGTAGAAGAAAGAGGAGAGAGATGAGAAAAGAAAAACCCAAAAGGACGAGGTTCACCGCAGCAGTTACAGATGGAGGCTGACAATTTTCCAAAGACAAAAAACTCTGCTTCAGATAAGTTTCAATATGTTAAACGGTCAAATGGCGGCACGGTGGCTGAGTGGCTAACATTCATGCCTCACAGCAAGAAGGTTCTGGCTTCGATCCCCGGGTCGCCCGGGCCTTTCTGTGTGGAGTTTGCATGTTTCTCCCTGTGTCTGGATGGGTTTCCTCCGGGTGCTCCAGTTTCCCCCATCAACCCAAAACATGTTACAGGTCTCCAAGAACAGTTGATATCTAAGGTCAGTTAAATCCAATCAATCCAATCATTGTGTGTCCTTAGGCAAGACACTTCATCCACATTGCCTAGTATGAAAGTGGTGTGTGTGTGAGTGATGGTGGTGGTCGGAGGGACCAATGGTGCCGATTGGCATGGCAGCCGCGCTTCTGTCAGTCTGCCCCAGGGTAGCTGTGGCTACAATAGTAGCTTACCATCACCAGAGTATAGAGCGAATGAATAATGCTGAATAATGCTCTGTAAAGTGTCTTTGAGGACAAAAAATGTCTGTGAAAAGTGCTATTTAAATAAAGACTTACTTACTTACATTTTTATAGAGAGCTTTTCCACCAAGGAATCAAGGAATTCAGGAAATGACTTAAGGATCTTATCACTTACAGTTGGTTAAGTGTCTTGCCCAAGGACACAATGAAAACATTCATCTGTGGGAGCTGGAATCGCACCGCCAACCAGACCATCTCACCTCGCAACCAATGATGTTTCAGTCGAGAGTGGACAGAAGCCCCACAAAAAACATTTGGACACCCCTGAACTAGGACTAAACCAGAACTAACCCAGAATTAAACCAGCCCTAAACCAAGAGAACAAGAAAAATATCTGTCTTTTTTTTAATATTTGGAGGAGTTTGAGGCTGGACCAGGTCACTTGGAGGCCTTTAAGTTAGGCTAGACTATTGTTGAATCATCACAGAGAGAAACAGCTATCTGCAACCCAGACTCTTGACGCAACATTGAGTTTTTCTTCTCCTTCCTCGACGATATCGCTCAATTGTTCCGCGTTTGGAAATACAATGAAGCCCTTGTTTCACTCAAACATAAAAGGCAACATCTATTCATCTTTAAGTCCAATTATTCCCCCCTCTCCCACTGTGAGCCTGCAGCTTTGTACCCCAAATAATGAAAAGGGAAAAAAGTGAAAATTATGAAAAACACAAAAGAGGTCCTTTGATGTGAACGCATGCACACACAAAAAAAAGGAAAAAAAAAAAAAAAGACAGGGCTAGCTAGAAGCGCTTGAAGGCATTACTCATCACCAGAAATGCTTTATCTTTAAGGAGGCAGAAAATGAGCGTCAAGAAACAATAAAAAAAAAAAAAGTAAAGACAGAAAGGATTTAAAGGAACTCTACCTGATGTTTACCGTCTTTAAAAAAAAAACCACGTAAAACAAAAGAACTAGCCTATTCGAAAAAAAAAAAAAAGGCCTAAGTGGATTTTCGCCATCACAATAATGCTGACAACTAGCATGGTAACTGCGCACTTCCTAATT